GAAAATACATAATAAATCGATTCAAACCTCTTTTTTACGTTCGAAGGGTAAATTTATTTCGTTGTGAAATATCTAAACAATAGATTCAGGGTGAAAGTAACATTTTCACCCAATATTCTTTCAGATTTATCGATTCAATAGGTTCTTTTTTTACATAAGAAAATAGTTTTATTTATGAACTAATTTGATTTAAATATAAATTAATATACAAAACAAAATGGAGGACGAAGAATGGTAGTTGATGAAACTTGACGTGATATCTTAAAATATATAAAAATGAATTGATTGATGAAAATATTTTTTATATTTACATTTTTCATTTTTTCATATTCTAAATACAAAAATCAAATTTAGAATTTAAAAAAAAGAAAATTAATCTTTTGTTTTACCTTTTGAATTCATTTCAAAATCTTCATCTTTTTCACTTAAATCTAAATAAAGTGAATTTAATGAATTAAAATCATTGATGAAATATAATTTCTTACGTTCTATTACGCGTGAAAATGAAAATTTCTTCTTTTGATGAATTTCATCGTGTTCTGGAATTAATCGAGTTGCTTTTGATGTTTGATTATTTCCCATTATTTCAACAAACAATATGTCTTTTCAAATATTATTATGTTTTCTTTGTTTTATCTGTAAAATCGTTCGATTATTTATATATCGATAAAACAAAGAAAAATCAATGACGTAGAAAGTCTATTCTATCTTTACCGATTTGTAAAGAAAACCTCATTCGACATCATTTTTTTTGTTTCATTGTAAAAATCTTCACAATTGAGTTAAGATAAAAATGACCTGACAAAATCGTTCTGTATAGATACAATTGTTCCTACATCCTTTACTTAATAATATCTACGAAAAAATCGATCAAAACACATTGACATAGGACTTCCCACGTTCGATATCACCTATTGGATATTTTATGATAAAATGGTTATAAAGAATAAGAAAATATTCATTGATTCATCTCATAACTACGCATGTATAAGTAAACAAACGTCAACAAACATTTCGATGATAAACCATACATTATAGTAAATATTGATGTCTATTTATTCTTTGGAATCAAAGAATTCATATACAATGCGAAGTTAGTCAATCTCTTACAACTTCCTTCGCTACTTTACGATGTTCAAATCATCTAAGAAACAATCGATATACAGATTTGAAATATTCTTTAATTAGAAAAAAGAAATAATCATTGTCTCAAACATACAAAGGTAATAAAACTAATTATGCGGAACGCACAAACTATCAATGAATATTCCTCTAACTATCCTTTTGTTAGAATCTATTTGAATACTATAGAGACATAGTAAACAATCAGAGTCAGTTTGTTCTAAGAATAGATGAAGATATTGTTGAACTGTGAAGTTCATTGAATAATAGAAGTCGATCTTTACCTTTTATTTCGAGTACCTTGTTGAAATATTTCTGTGCTTTTAATTTGTTATCCATTTTGTTTTGTATGCTAAGCCGACGTTGTCGTAGGTTTCACCTATATGAAAATCATTCGGTGGCATAGATTGCTGTTGAATTTGAAGTGCTTTGTTGTCATTTTCCAGAGCTCTTGAATGATCACCTATGCGAAAATAATATAGCAGCGATATTATTGTAGGTCGATGCGAAGTAGAGATGAGTTGGTGATAAGGTCTTCAAATATATTTGGAATACCTTCTTGTGCTTTTCAAGAGCTTTGGAATAATTCATCATATACAACTAAACACCTGCGATATTCCTGAGAACCTTATCTATATGTTGATGATTGGGGAGGTGAAGATTGTTGTTGAATTTCAAGTGCTTTTTCGTAGTTTTCAAGAGCTTTCAAGTACTCTAAACCCACACCACTATAGGTCATCGTGACATTGTGATGAATAGGTGATATAGATTAGACGTAAATCTCGAATATTTTGTTATAGCTTTCCAAAGGTCGTGATTGCTTCATTGTATAAGAGTATACTAAACCTATGTTATTAAAGCTTCTGTCCAAATCTAGGTGAACTGACAGTTTACATAGAATGTCAAAAGCTCTGTTGTAGTTTTCAAATACTTTTGAATACTCGCTCATATAGATCAATACTGAACTTATATTGTTGTACGTTCTAGCTAAGTTTGGATGAATCGATAGTGATATCTTCTGTTGAATTTCGAGGGCCATGTTGTGATTCTCGCGTGCACGTGAGTATTATCCGATGTCAGTGTATACCGAAGCAATGTTGTTATATGTCTTGGGCAAATCTGAATGAGGTTGAGAGAAGATTTTTATTTGAATGATCAACGCTTTTTCGTAGCTTTTAAGGAGCTTTTGAATATTCTCCAGTCATATAGTGATTCTGACCGATATTAATGAATTTCGTGACTAAATTCATATGAAGAAAAAGAAATCAATGAAATTGGTTTGGAATATAACATAAGAAAAATTACAGTTGATCTCCAATAAAATGAAGATCATCTATGAGATTTAATTAATTGATTATTCTTCTTGGTGAATATATAAAAGAATGAAGACGATTGTGTTGAATCTAAATGATTAAAAGAAGAAGAATTTGATGAAGAGTAAATGTACAATTGATGGGAATTTCGTACTGATTTCATCTCTTTAGTTGAATAATGTGAGAAAATCTGACGTTGTTGAAGTTTTGAAGTTCGTTGGATAAACTTTGTTAATCGAAAAAACACCAAAACTGATCACAATGATGAAAATCCATTGACGAATGTTCATTGATCTTTTGAATATTCGATTTGTTGAAATTTTCTTTGTTTTCTAAAAAAATCGTTTGAATTGACGTTGTTTCTTGATTTTTTATTCATTTGATATTCTATTAGAAAAATCCAATAGAAAAACTGACAATTCAAAGAAGAATTTCAATGAAATTGACCTTTAACTCTTTTCACAGCATCATAACAATGAATATTCGTCAAAGTTTCAATGAAAACATCATAATCTTCATCATTTAGGATTTCTTTTTGGAGAAAAGAGTCGAATAAACGAAATGCTTCATTCATCGAACAATTTTCACCGAGAAGAAAATTTAATCTTTCATGATCTTTGTTTGAAAGAAGATCTTCAATTTTGATAAAAATATCCCGAAATTGAATTGATTCACACATTTAATAACAACAAAAAAAAGATTACAGATATTTCATTAAATGTTGAATGAGAAAATTTGTAAAGTTTCAATCTCAATTCATAAATGACACAAAAAGAAAACAAATTTTTCTTTCAATAATGTCAGATGAAATTCATCATTATGTAAATAAACGATTATTTTCTTCAATGATTTCTTTCAATAAATATATATTTATCTCTTTAGTTGACGTTAATCGAAAGATAAATGAATAAAAACTATTTTTATCTGTAAAAATCAACTTAAAAGTCATAATGAAAATATTCTCATGTGATTTTCTTTGTTTTTCATTGTTGATTTATCAATGAGAAATATTTTCATATCTCTTATTTAATCTCTGAATCGATATTGATAAATCTTTCAATGATGAATCTCTACAAATATGTGAAATCAACGAGATGAATTTCTCCGTTTTTTTTTCGATATGTTTTCTTTGATACATAAACGAACGAAAACAACAAAATTCTTTTCCTTTTTCTTTACACTGAATTTCTCCTACGATGTAAATCGTTCAACTTCGAATAGTAAAATGGATTTCGTACCCAGTCTCGATAGTTTACAAACTGTCAAAGATTTCTTTCTTGAAAGACATCAATTTGAAAATCATTGGGCCAAATTATTTGAAATGATTAAGAAAAAAAATCAAAGGAAATTATTTAAAAATGATGATTGTTTCAATCATTATTCATCTTGATTTTTATCGATTGTTTTTGAAAAGATGTTGTACTCATTTGCATCCTTCTTTTGTGAATTTGCTTCATTCTGAACAACCATAAAAGTTTCAGGACGTATTATATTGAATAAATATTTCCGATCAAATGGTCTGAAAGTTGAACTTGTCGTTTCAATTTCAACAGTTGTTGATTCATCAATTGGATAATCTTTGTATTCTTCTTCTTTATTTTCCTCGGAATTTATTTTAATAATCTCAGTCGATGAGGAATGTTCAGGTAAAATAGTTGTGGTGATATTCTCGTCAAAATTATTTTCATCATAAGATGTAGTTATAACTTCACAACGAGAAGAATTTGTTTCTTCACTATCATTGGTTAATTTAATAAGATTTTGAGGCCAACACATCATAAATTGATACCCACGTAGAGATTCGGATGATGTTGAATTCTTAACTTCTGGTACGACAGTTGTAGAAACGATAGTTTCATTATTGATGATGTCTAACTTAGATTCTGTTACAATATCTGTGGTCATCAGAATAGAAGTTGTTGAAATTGATTCATGTTCATCTGTTGGAACAAGAACCCATGTGCAATTTAATTTCGTTGAATTTTCATCTTTTGATATTGTCATAACTTCACAACGTTCGATTACGCGATATTGATCATGTTTAATATCAGGTGTTGTTAATTCTTCATCATATATGAAAGTCTCTGTTGGTGGTATGGTCACTGTCATTGTTGAATCTGATTTATCTTGAACTATCGTTGATGTTTCAGGAAATAAATAATTTGAATCGAGTTCTTCTTCTTTTGTTGTTAGTTGAATAGTTGTTGTATCGATAAATGTATCTTCGGGTATAAATAACCTATCATTATCATGTTCATTTTCATTCGTTGGCAGAATAGTAACTGGAACACCCGAATCATATTCATCTTGAATTACTGTTGTTGTATCCGGTAGTATAATCTGTTGATCACCGTCGTTGTATTCATTCGAGATTAATATCGATGTTGTAAGAGACGAATTACTGGAATCAATTTCATTCTCTGTCGATAGACGAGTCGTTGTTGTATCGATAGATGTGTCGTCGAGCACAAATGAATTCTTATCATCGTATTCATCATCATTTATTGTTGAAATTCTCACTGTAATGGTCGAACCCGATTCATCTTTGACCATCGTCGATGTTTCAAGAGATGTATCATAAGAGGCAGATCCTTGTCCATCAAAGAATGTATCTTGAGTTGATGTTGTTGTATTCTGTGGTGGAATCTCTTGATCATCATTAGTCTTACCTTGGATAATCGTCGAAGTTTCATGAGATGAATAATTGGTATCAGTTTCTTGTTCTTTGGTTAATTGAATAGTTGTTGTATCGATAGATGTGTCTTCAGGTACAAATGGATTATAATCATCGTCTTTCTCTTCTGAATTAGATTGATCTTTAATTGTCGATGTGATAGTTGTTTGTAAATGTTCCAAATAAAGTTTCATTTCAGTAATCTTTTCATTCAACCGTTGTAAATCTTTATTTAGAATTAGCGGTTCTAAGAATGGAATAATCGAATAATTTTGTCTAAGAACAACATAGAAAATATTCATTTGTTTAATAATTGGTTTCATATTGAATAATTGATCAATAAGATTATCTGATGTTGCATTAAGAGAGTCAAACATCGATTGAAAATTGACAAAAAAGTTCTCAAAAAGTGTTTGTTTCTGAAATCTGTCTTTGATCAAATGAAGATTTTGTTGATGACGAATAATAAGATGATCAACATTCCAAACTAACTCTTTCCATTCTTTCATTTCTTTATCTGCATTAGCAGCGTTTAATTGTAGAGTAAATAGATGCGCTGATTGTTGTTCCATAGTCTCTCGAAGTTTCTTACATGAAAACCAACATTTGGAATGCGATTCTTTTGTTTTCTCGAACAATTGTGAATGTTCCCAAAGATCAGTGTTAATCGTTTTGCTGTTTTCGAAACTTGTGGCAAGTTTATTTTGAAGAATGGCGAGATAATCTCGCAAATCGGTCAAACATTTCTCAATTGAAGCAATAATCGATTGATCAGTATTTACCGGTGGTTTTAATGGCGGAATAATCTGAAGAAATGTGGAAGTCAAGGAGGAAATTGCTGAACGAAGTACGTCGAGATCTATTGGATTGTTTACATTGAAATTTAATAATTTTTCAACAAGATCTTGACGAAGTATACGATAAGATTTGATGTAGTTCGGTAGGATTATCGTATGTATGATCAATTGATGATTGATTGGAAATCCAATATGAAAAGAAGTGAAGGAATTTTCCGAACATTGTCTCAAATCAGTTATTAATCTATGTTTTATGTTTTCTTCGATTGATCTCGGAATATTTCTCCATAGGAAATATTCGAATGAATATAATGGAAGTAGAAGAAACACAACAATGTTTATTAATAAAACCATTTTAGTAACACAAAAAGAAAAGTGTTTTTGTATGTAAAAGGAGAAGATCTTATCGTTTAAATCTTCATTATATTTGTATCTTTTGAAATTTAATCGACAAATGATTTAATAGATAAGAATAATACGGAATTAGTTGTGTTCGATTCAAATTTCTTTTCTCACGTGCATTTTATTTTCAATCATAGTGAACTATGGACTATTTCTCATTGGACAAAATGTGAAAAATCTCGTTCGACCATCGAGAATCACTTCGGATTGAATTCGTTGAAAAGAACGATGAAAATTACGGATCATTTTAGTTTCCATTGGATTTCGTTCCATTGTATTACAATCAAAATGACATAAATTGGGAACATATTGTTCAAAGATTTCTGCTAATTTTTCGAAATTCAATGATGAACAATTATTCCCACGTGACCAATCAGAGACAAGAAAGAGTCGTTTCAGATTAGGAACACAATCGAGAACGAAACGAATGGTTTCCAGATTAATTGTGCGAAGATAAAGATGTTGAAGATGAAAATGTTTTCGAGGAAAATGTTCATCATCTGAGTATCGAACAATTGACCAATGTAAATACGTTAAATTTGGACAAGAATGAAGAATATGAATATAAGTCGAAAGACAAAATCCTGTTGAAATTAAAGATCGTATCGATGGTGAAATTGACCAAGAAGATTTAGAATTAGGTGATGAAATATCACCAAAGATACATTTATTTAGATGTGGAAATTCATTGGAAAATATTCTCTGAAAGAATTTGTAAGATTCATCAGATTCGTTAATGAATGGCATATTTAGATAAACTAATTTTGGAAAATTTTCATAGCGAATTTGTGTTAATTGTCGTTCGGATAAATAATCTCGAATATTTAATGATCGAATATGAGAAAATAAAATAAAATCAATACAATTCGAATGAAAAATATGTAATGATATTATTTGTTGAGCAAATCGATGAATTAATGGATCATTTGTATCTTCACTAGAATTGATTTGAAAAGAAATATTTGTTAAATGATTTAATATTGTATTTAAACGAATATTCAAATGAGAAAATATTCGATAGAGACTAAATATATCGAGATAATTGAAGATTTCATAGATCAATTCATTTGGTAACTGTTCGAAATACATTTTCTTGTTCATTTTATCCGNTGTTAAATGATTTAATATTGTATTTAAACGAATATTCAAATGAGAAAATATTCGATAGAGACTAAATATATCGAGATAATTGAAGATTTCATAGATCAATTCATTTGGTAACTGTTCGAAATACATTTTCTTGTTCATTTTATCCGAAAATTCAATTCGAGAAAATGAACTGTGAACTTGTCAGAAAGTCAAATGGTAATCGAGTCAACCTTATGTTTGTTTCATTAGTAATGTCAATTACCTCTATATGTTTTCAAATCTGATTAAAGATAGATGCCGCGTCTATTCATATCATTATCTCGATACGTAAAAAATCCAAAAGGAGATACATTCATAAACTTGGAAATTTAATGTTTATAGACGGGGGTGAGAGAATGCGTGGTCCTTATCGGGATTTTATCCTTGGAAATTTATTATCAATTGTTGTGTTATTCATCAATAGATAATAATAAACTTCTTTTACACCTCGAAATAGTGGAAAGATTAAAAAGAAAAGTACGAAATCGTTATCAAGTATCCGCATATTTAAAAAGAGTGAAAATTTACATATTTTGTAAAGATTTTCTTGAGAATCTTCTATTCAACATGTTTTCATTCAAACTCTCTACACAATTATTTCTCTTATGTATTTCATCAACATTGATTCTTGGTGGTAAATTTATTTTGAAAACTTATGTTTCCATATTTCTTTTTTTTTTTTAATCTTCTAAGAATCTTTATTGAATCGTGCAACACCAAATTGGATTGGTGTTTTTGATGCAACAAATGGATGTGATCGAACTGTATGTTGTTGTCCAACTGGTAGTATCAATCTTAGTCCTGTTCAAACAACTAAATTACGTGTTCAAGCAAACTTCGATGGTACTTGTCCACAAAAACCACTTTTTGTTGATTCAACTATTGATATGCCAACGACTTTCACTACAGTTATATCCTTTTTACAAGAACCAGTGACTGTTCGACTTAGTGATGATAGTCAAAGAATCACTTTTGTTAACGCAATAGCTCCTATTTGTAATGGTGATGCTATTCGAAAGAACGGTGCTCGTTTATCTACTGAAATCAATTCAATCTTTTTCGTAATGGTCACTGCTTTATTAATTCTTAAACAATTTGTGTTTTAAAGACTCATTCATATTTCGAACTTTTTTAGTCAAAGAAAATAATGAACGTATTTGTGATTTCTTTTCGTTAATAAAAGTTTCCATTTAATTGACAAAATTGTGTACATCATAGATAATACGATATTTTCCCTTTTTGCAATCACCTGTAGTTTCCATTAAACTCCTATGATACGATCACCGATTAGGACGATATAGAAATTCATTTCCAGTATCAATTATTTATATCGACACATACAGAAATCTGATTCACGTGACACGATTGAAAAATGATTCATTTTTTTTTACACGTATTTCTTTCTTTTGTATTTTCCTTAATAAAGGAAATAACTTTCAGTTCAAGTAGCAGAAACTTCATTTCAACTAGAAAAATCTTGAAATGTTAAAAAAGACAAATTTAAATCATCAATTTTCATTCTTATTGAACGATGAGTTTATCTTGGTTGAATATTGTTACTTCTATTTTCTCTTTGATTACAATTCTTCTCACAAGTTTTATTATTTTCATTTTAATAAAAATTTTCAAACGAAAATTTCATATTTCATTGTTATTAGTGATGAATACTTCGATTGTATTAACAATTTATTCGATTATTTCTCTTGAAACTCTTCTTATTCCATCTTCATCTTTAACATTTTCATGTAAAATTCGTCATGGATATTTCATACCAACAAGTTCATTATCTGTTATATTATCTTATATTCTCCAAGCATTTTATCGTCTTGTTCGAATTGCTTTTTCTTCTTCAATTCGTTCGAAATATATTTGGATAAGTTTCATTATCATTCAATGGTTTCTTTCTTTCTGTTTTTGTTTACCATTTTTACTTATTCAAGGATTTATTTCTTATATTCCCTTTGACCAATCATATTGCGTAACAACTTATCGAAATTTATTTGCATCGATCTATGGTTCATTAGTAATTTATATTTTCCCTTTAATAGTTCTTATTGGAATATACGGATATGTTATTTGGTTTTTGAAACGTTCTCAACGTGTAATTACATTTCATCAACAACGAAGAAATCAACGTGATTTGAGTGTGATTAAACGAATTGTTTTCATAGTAAATGGATTAATTTGTGCTGGATTACCATCGATGATCTTATGGATGATTTATCTTATTAAAGGAAATCTTATTGAACCATTGATCTATGAAATTACTTGGTTAAGTGTTCAATTAGGTATTGTCGTTGAGAATATTTTACTCATTTATTTTACGAGAGAAATTCGAAGTTTTCTCAAAGAATCAAATATTGTTCATTTTTAAGAAAATAAATGATGAAACAATTATATGTTCATTTTATTCACTTTTTCATTCAATTATTGTTCAGCTTACACCTCAAAATGAATAAAGAGTTTCCTCTGCAAAATAAATTGATTTCGACTTTAAAATCTCAATCAGATGTTGCCTTTATTTGTTAATAATAAAAATAATTCTTCATCAATCCGTTTTAAACAACAATTAGAGTTGAAATAAATGGATAACTAAGAAGCGAAACAACAATAACCATGTTGATTAATGAACTACAAGCATGTGCTATGCCAAATTGTTTGTTCAAAGTTTTCATTCGATCACTAATATCAGTTTCGTTATATGTTTTACCTTCTTCTCTTTCAACTTTATGTCTTTCTTGCATAACTCTACATGAAATCATGATGAAAATTATCTCAAGAAATACAAATCTTGTTTTACTTTGATGTCCATGGTCCAACAACGATTAAATTCAATAAACCTCCAACAATACCAATCAAGAAAATTCGACGAGACTTTCGATTTGATGTTGTCAGTAGACAAATTCCATTGAGAACACTTTGGGAAAGAAAATAAACTGGGAAAAGTTTACTTTGTAAAAGACCAAATTGTTGACGAGGTAAAACTTTAAATGCTACAGGACCACCAATAAATGAATGCCAAAGTGTCAATCCTGTGACGGAAGCATAGGAAAGAAGATGATAAGGTGTAGATGAAGTCAATATTGTTGGAATCATCTTTAATAGACGTATGATTAAAAGAATAAGATAGTTAATGGTATTATTAGGATCAACATTTTCATGACCAATCGAATTGATGAATACTTTTTTCTCGATCAATTTGTTTAGTAATATTTTGAAATATCATTATTTTGTTTGCTTTCACAAGTTTTAAGGTATTTTATAAAAATTTTCTAATGAATTTAATAGTGACATCTAGGAATGCAGGTGAAACTCATACTTATCCGCAGATATAACTCTTCTAATACAATGATCATAATCCTGTTTGTCATATTTTGAGGAAAGATCTAAAGTTTCTATATGTATTCCTGTCTGACAGTGTTGACAAATCAAAACTTTCTTTCATTATTTCTCATTGATCCTACAATCCACACATGAGTTCAACTCTTAGTATTATCTGTATGAAAACGTTATTTTGAAACGCATACTTATTGATTTAATCAAACAAATAAATTGAGGAGACTCCAACACATGTTTCTTTCTTTTACAATTGATTTTATTTTGCAAGGAATATTCGCAGTTTTCTAAAAAAATCAAGCATTGTTCACCGTTAAAAATGAAAAGGTGACACGTCTGATTCCATCCAACAAAACGATAGATTGATTTTATTCACCTTTCCATTCAGTTTTCTTCAGCCAATCTTCAAATGTATTTAAATGCGTTAATTGTTTTCCTGTTGTCCAATCTTTGTGTTTTCCGAAACAACCATATTGTTCGAACCATTTGTACATGTAGAAAAGATCATCTTGAATCAATTTTGGTAAGAAACTCGTTGCTCCTCGAAACTCTTCTTCAGTTAACGTTTTTGAAATTGATGGAATACCTGTGACTTTTGTAAAGATTTTCGACACATCTTCAAAACGAATTTCTTCACCACAAATGCAAATATCTTGTCCAACGAGTTTCTCAGGATTTTCTAAAATTTCCCGAACAATTGAACCTGTATCATCAGCATCACCTAAATGTAATGTGGCTTTTTGATCTAATGGACTTGCAAATACAATTGTTCCATCGGGTAACTTCTGTGGTTTGGAACGATTTTGCCAATTTTGCATATAAAATGCCGATTGGACATAGATTACTTTCATATTCGCATGTTTTTCTTTGATATAATCACGAATTAAAGCCTTTTGTGTAAAATGCGGAACATTTCTATAAAAGATTAAATGACATTAATCACAAAGAGAAGAAAAACGTTTCAATAAATACTCACAATTGACCATTACTTAATTTGTTTACATTTTCTAATGTACTAAATATTAGATAAGGTATTTGTAGTGAGTCAGCTACATCCGCTATCAGCTTTCCCTGTTGAATTTCGATTTCTGGTTGAATCGAAAAATTAGTCAAAGCATAAACAGCCCATGAATCTTTGAATGCACATTCCAAATCTTCTTTTTTGTTAATATCACATGTCATCATTTCAATTTGATCACTTAACTGTGCCACACTCAGTGCTTTGTGGCTTTTAGCATCACGAGTTAAACCACGAATTTGATATTTTCCAGTTTGGACTAATGATCGAACCACAGCTCCACCTTGTGCCCCTGTAGCACCAATAACTGTAACTAATCGTTTTTCAGACATATTTTGTAATGAATGAATGTAAAAACAAGAATGCAATGTTTATAGATGAAGAGAAAGCGAACGAATAGTACGATCAGTTACAAGTGGGTATGAAATAACGAAAATAACAAATAAGAAAAGTAAAGCGATGGTTTTATAAATAGATCTATATGACGTAGTAAATTATACTGTATTGGATTGCCATCTATCGAACATGAATGAAAATACATCATTCAATTTACATTTTCGCGCACTGTTTGTATAATTGAACGGTTTTCGTTTGTTATGTTGTTTTCTTAGATTATTTAGATCGTATAATGTGTAACAGTCTAAAGAAAAATGGCATTCTTATGAGAAAACATAATTCTCTTTCTACAATAGTTTTGTATTTTGCTCAAGTGTTACCTGTTTGGAATATTCATTCTGTTATAGACATGGTACCGATATAAAAATTG